ATAAATAATACTGCTATTAATAAGAACATTGTACAAAAGCAAATTGTTATAAATAAACTAAAAAAGCAGTGTCTGCTTTTTGCTAGCTGTATGTGGGTGGAGTAATACACAATGGGTAAAGAGGCTGTACGGGTGCTGATATTACCTAAATATATCACGACTATCAGCCAATCAGATTCAAGAACCAGACAGAACTGGTGTATAAAACAATTTAAGATGTTGTAAAATAGCATTCAAGACTTTTTAGTGGCCTTAAAGATCTCTAAATTGATTGATCAACTTTGAATACTTTTTTAAGACTGCAGGCACCCTGGTCATCCTTATTTAATCAGTTATTTTTACATTAAATTGTTACAATTTTTTCATTAAAGCAGTCACTATCTGAATACATTAAAATAATACATATGCATTTGATATAATCACATATGTCTGTCATGATTGTTACACTAATAGAAACATAGTCTGACCTGCGATGGAGTGGATTCGGATGCTCTTGATTTTCAGGCTCTTCCGAGGAGGAAGCTGACGGTTGTACTGATTCTTCATGATCTCATAATAGCCAACATACCTGCTCTGCAAATGCACAACCCAACAGAACATGCATCAATAAAGAGAACATCTATCATCCTCAATAGTATCTGGATGCAGCTTTGATTATGCAAGCTAAAAATGCAAGTCTGTGGCTAGCAATGTCAGACACAATGCACTCAATAAAGCTAGTGACGTCACTGTTAGGGGTAGGGTTATGGGTTAGATGTGCTCATTATAAAGCATTACATGCAGCTCAGATTTGCAACTGCATCAGGTCTGCATCCAGACCCCTCTCATAATTCTACACACGTTCACCGACTGAACTCAAGCTAACAAACCTGAGACGGAGTTTCAACACCTTGAAACTTGGAGCTCATGCTTTTATCAGTCCGTCTCTCTCCAAAGTAATCCAGGCTCTCCTGTGAGAGATGAAGAGAGATGTAAGGCTTTAAGAAAATCTGACCAGTTGAGGAAGAGAAGGAATCTGAAATATGGATAATATGATCAGCCTGTACCTGTGCACTCTCAAACTGATCGCTGTCAATGAGCCATGTGCAAACCATTGTGCCGGTACGACCTACAGAACAAAGATCAACCATAACACACTTCACATACACTGATTTATTTGTGTTTTTCTAGAATGTGTCTTAACTTTTTACTTTCAGAAATGTTTTACAGTTATGGTCCAAAGCAACTTCAAGAACATTTAGTTTCATGCTGAATTAAAGAGACCCGCTACTACAAATAAGTTGAATTAGAATTGATATTTACATATACAGTATACAGTGCTCAGCATAGTTTAGTACAAATGAATATTTTCTGCATTTCCCAGTGAATATAGGCAATGCATTTTGGTGAATTAAGCAAAACAGATTTATTAAACAGATATTCATTCATTTTCTTATCGGCTTAGTCTCTTTTTTAATCTGGACTCCACAGCGGAATGAACCGCTAACTTATTCAGCACGTTTTTACGTAGCGGATGCCCTTCCAGCTAAACAGATATATTATTTTATATATTAAAAAAGATTTTAGTCACCAAACATATTTAGAAATTGAAGGATAATATAATTAAATACAATAAAATATTTTTAAAAATATTTAACTTTTTTTTATTTTTTGCTTCTCTTGATTTTTCCACTTTTTTAAATTTGTATTTAATATTTTTCTATATCATACACATTTGGGTGTGCTAGTTTTTGGACCGTTATCATAAGTCATTTTATTACGCAAGCTCCAGATTTGACTTTAGTACTTCCTAATGTATATTCACAAATATAATACTGTACAGCTTCCCTTTAAAAATATGAATTTAAGAGAGAGATTTGTGAGGGGTGTACTCGTATATGCTGAGCATTGTTTTATGTTTGCTTTATATTTTTAGCGCTTTATATTTCTTTTTAGTTTTGAGGATTTGTCATGGAGCGATTAAAACTAAAATATGTTTATGATATTTGTAAATGCTTAATTTCATAAACATAAAATAAGGCTAAGGCTGTAAATTAATATTTTTTAATAACACAATGTGACAATAAATATTAAAACGTGTACAATAATAATAATAAATAAACAATTATATAATAAACAATAAATAATACAAATATGTGTGTAATAAATTTAGCAGAGAAATGAACTTTATTCATTAAAAATCATTGTGTCAGATGCAAAAAAGCATCATAGATGTCACGCTGCCCTGTATCTTGCTCACGCATTGGCTGTAGGTAGATTTTTTTTTTTAACATTTATAATTAATTTTATTCACCTTTTATTGGACAGGACATATAGAAATGAAAGTGTGGAAGGCAGAAAGACAAAAAAGATTGGTAAAGGAACTCAAGCCGGAAAAAGAATATAGGTCATCGTGAACACTTCAGTGGTATTTGTGGGCACACTTAACCACTAGGCTATCGGTGCCAACGATCGATGTGTTTTTCAGTCGGAACACTTCACACAGCAGGACTTTAAATAGCCAGATATTTAGCTTACTGAATACTTCATAAGAGTCTATGATTCTCTCTGATAGGGACTTTGATGATTCACAGTGTACTCTCGTGAATGAGCATGATTTGCTTCAGATATCTGTATTTTTGAGCAATTTCACAAAAGTTGTTGGCGTGTGAAAACTTGTTGAAGGTTAACAGACTATGGTAAGGAAGGCAGACTATTCATGTAAATTTGGGGTACACCTGATTGGTTAATAAGTGATTGATGATGTGAGACAAGCGGTGGTCAATCATAAGGATGTGATCCTCTAGAAATTTGTTTATAAAACAAATTAAAATACTGTATTTAAACAAGCCCCATGCAAACTATACTGTCGGTCCAAACTACAGAACAAAAATCAACCATTACTCACTTCACATACTTCACATATTGTGTTTGTGTCTAGATTGTGTATTAAGGGACCCGTTTACTACAAATTAAGTTGATTTTGGATTGATATTTAATAGAGTGAATGCCACTATATATTCTGCTTGATTTGGTCGGCATTACAATAGCAGCAATATATAGGAAACATTTCAATTACACCCAGTGGGACATTTTATTTTGGTTGGGTAAGATAAAAAGTACAGGAAGTTATTTAGCCGGGATGATAAATTGCTAGGAAAAAACGGAAGGTTGACAGATATGCCAGTCAACACAGTGAAATGTCTGGGGTGCACAACTTTTACTTAAATTTTTTACTTATTTACCCTTTCCTCCTTTGCAGTGGATGGCAATAACATTCCTGGAGTCTGCTGCCATCCAGTCTCTGACACAGGCGGTGTAGCGCAGCATATCACTGACCGGATTAAAACACACAAACACAGATCAGCTGAGCTCATCTACATCTTCAAGCAGGAATCAGAGATGAAGCACATGTTGAGCTGTGGTGATACTCACTCCAGTGAAGGCACATTATGGTCATCTATCATGACACGCTCTACTCTGTAGTGAAAGAACTTTGGATCGTAACCTTTCTCACCTGAAACGAGAAAAGTCAGTCTGACCAGTTTATTATAAACTTGGTTTGAGATCAAATTAAATGGTGGGTGAGGAAAAACAAGACTGGTTTTGTGGTACAGGGTCACATATTGTTCGTATTAAGTTGCACGAACATATTTGTAGGAATAATCAAAAGTCAAAATTAAATATTTATATGCATTTCTTTATGCCAGAAATCATTAGAACGTTAAATAAAGATCATGTTCAATGAAGACATTTTGTAATTTTCTTACCGTAAATATATTAAAACTAAATTTTTGATTAGAAATATGCACTGCTAAGAGCTCAATCTGGACAATTTAAAGGGAAATTGACTTAATATTGTTATTTATTTGAACCCTCAGATTCCAGACTTTAAAATTGCATCTCGGTTGCATCTCGGCCAAATATTGTGCTATCATAATCAATGGAAAGCTTATTAAATCAGCTTTTAGATGATGTCTATAATATATATATATACTGGCTTTAGGCTTGACCAAGTGAAACTTAAGACATAAGACATTTTTAAGACCATAGTGAATGAAATTTTAGACCTATAGAGGGCTAAATGCTAAGGATCGTTATCGAATATCCCAGTTGGAAAATTATTAATTGGCCTTATCAACAAAATCATTATAATTTATTAATAATAATAATAATAATATAGGTCATGTCAGTATCCTCAGCAGTAAATACATAAAGATCTTTTAAACAAATGTTACTGTAAGGAAAGTAATTAAACCGTTATGGTAAATAGTGTCAAATAATCAATTTTATTATGGTAAATAAAAGTCAAATAATGTTTTATCATCATTCAGCATAAGAGATATATTTAAATAAAAATTAAACAGTTTGTTTACTTCATTCATTCATTTTCTTGTCAGCTAGTCCCTTTATTAATCCGGGGTTGCCACAGCGGAATGAACCGCCAACTTATCCAGCAAGTTTTTACGCAGCGGATGCCCATCCAGCCGCAACCTATCTCTGGGAAACATCCACACACATTCAGACACACACACACACACACACTACGGACAATTTAGCCTACCCAATTCACATGTACCGCATGTCTTTGGACTGTGGGAGAAGCCGGAACACCCGGAGGAAACCCACGTGAACGCAGGGAGAACATGCAAACTCCACACAGAAACGCCAACTGAGCCGAGGCTCGATTTAGCGACCCAGCAACCTTCTTTGTGTGAGGCGACAGCATTACCTACTGCGCCACTGCCTGGCCAGATTGTTAACTTATTCAATTAAATAAAACAGGAATAATTTCTTATTCATTTGATTCGAATTTAAATGATTCCATTCTTCATAATGACAAATGGGTAAATACTAGGGGTTCGAAAAAAGATATTTTAAATGATAACCATAGTATAACAATTAATTATAAATAATTCAGCCATAAACATAATTAAAAAAGGAAACAAATAAGCAGTGCACATTAAACTGTATTGGGGAAAACAAAGCTCTTCAATTATTTTATGTTTTAAAACCCCTTTTCGTCAAACCCTGTACATATTCAATTGAAGTATTTTTTAATTAAATGTACTTATTATTAAATGATTTAAATTATTATGTTTATAGAATATTCAGTCTCTAATTTTCATTTATTTGAACAAATCAGCTACATCCCTTTATAATGAACATTACACAATTATCAAGCCTTTTAGAAAAGAGGTTAGATTTAACAAGTTGTCGAAGTTGTTAAAATAATGAAGAGAGACTCTACTCACTGCAGAGATTAAAAACCTTGTAATGATCCATATGTTTGGTGTCCAAGAATCTAACGACCTCCTGAAAAATGAAATGTGATTTACATGTGAATGACAGAACTGCTGTATTGTTTTCTGAATCCCTCTAAACTGATTCACATCTAATTTAAATGTTAACCTTCAACATTTGTGTTTTACTTACTCTAATTGGGTTCCTATAAAGCGCCTGCTTCCCAGAAGATGGAAAAGACATGGCGATGACTCTTTCTGGAGAGAGAGAACCCACTAAATAAGACTTTGCCTATTAAAGTATCTGTCCTTTTAACATTTATTCAAACTATTTTATTTTAATGTTCTGTTTATAATGTATTAAAATTATTTAAAAGGGCTTTTCTAATTTAACCAAACCTGTAACGTATGTGAGGTCCAGATCAAATCCATCTTTTTGGTACCGTCTTTTGTTCTCTGAAACCTGTAAAGAATTATTATACAATAATTAAAAAAAAAAAAACACACACATTTCATACAGTATAAATTGATTTAGATCAAAGTGAGACATTTGATAGTTCTTTTTTTTTTTAAATTACCCACGAAAAAACTGTGAAAAAAAACTACATAAAAATAATTGGTTAAAATTAAAATAAAAAATATATTAAAAGAGCATATAAGCATACAAAAGGGTGTTATAGATATATAGACTGCAAGTGAAAACAATTATATTGATTTTTATATGTAAATTGTTTTAGAAAGTAAAAAACATCAAACTCAACAATAAAATAGTAAATTAATAAATAATATTACACATTTTTTTATATATATTTTTTTTATTTATTATTTTTTCTCTATTAATATACATAAAATATAGTTTTTTAACATGCTGGTTAGTTCATGCGTGTGTTTATCTTAGTATCCATAAAATAAGAAACAGTGCAACTATTTTCATAAATATTATTGTTGTTGTTATAATTATGATTATTATTAAAATAATAATAAAAATAAGTTTTTAGGTAACTAAATCAGAACATTAAAATAATTTCTGAATGCAAAATTATATTATAATAAGACTGGAGTAAATTCTGCTTTTAAAATTGTAATAATATATTTTACAGTATCTAAATTTTTCAATCAATTAAAAGCAGCCTCTGTGCAAAAGAGACTTGAAAATAAATGTTATAATAATAATAATAATAATAATAATTATTATTATTATTATTATTATTATTATTATTATTATAAAATGAATTACAAAAATAATGCAACTGAATTATAATCTGATAAAAAGACACAACAATTACATATTTTTAATAATACTATAATGTATTTATATTTTTAAGTGACTCACCATTCTCCTGGTGACTTTTTCAAGCTCTCTCTTCTGCGAGGCCAGTCTGAAGATGCGTACCAGAATTAGGATCCTCAGAGACCTCAGGAATGTCACCACCCTGAAAACACATCATAACAAAACGTTACATTAACACTGTTGGGAAATATCAAACATTAATGTATTGGTCAAATCGGCTGTACCTGGGAATCAGACTGGCTCCTGAGAAATCGGAGAATGCGTAGATCATGGTGACCACCAGAGTAATGACCACAATACAAGCATCTACTATATTCAGTTTTGAGCTGAAATACACTTTGAATCTGAAAAAAAAAGATCAACAGTTTATCAGAGACTGTTACACTTTTGTTTGAGCTTAAATTGAAATGTAAAGACAACATTAGAGGCAAAGTAACTACTCTTTATACTTGTTTTGCACTATTTGTCCTTAATGTAGCTTTAATAGGCCATAAACTCTTTATTATGTACACAACAATATAATTTTGCACACAAATAAATTTAATAGTTTATTCTTCTTTTAAAAACAAGATATTGGGAAAAAAGCTGCCACTTCCATCAATATTAGGAACAAAAAAAAAGAAGATGGAAGTCAATTGTTCATCAGTCTTCATTTGTGTTCAACTTAAAAAAGCTCAAACAGGTTTGTAAATTATGACAATTGTAATTTTTAGGTGAACACCTTCAAATGTGTGTAAACAAACTATTGAAATGTTATTTAGTTTAGTTTGTTCTCATTTAACTCATCTAACAAAAGGTAATATCATGGTTCTATATCTCTCATAACAGATATTTTATAATCTATTTGAAATTACTTAAATAAAAATGCTTAAATTTATCATATGCATTTAATATGATTGATTTCATTTGACATTTACTGCACAGACTGATGCACAAAATGTATTTTACCTTTTATTAATTTCTATTTTGCCCTGCACTTCAGATTTTTTCTGTACATTTTTTATCCAACTATGACAGATTTTTTTCTCTACAATCCTGACCTCTTTTCTTTGAGATTGAAAGTTAGTAGCTTGAAAACTGAATTATAAACTGGAAATAGCACACAACTATACACTGTATAATCAAAAACGATACACAATTTAATACCATGTATAATAGAATTTAAGACTCTCTCTCTCTCTAAATTGATTTATCAACATTTATACTTTAAGACTCTGCGGACACCCTGATATTGCAACAGAATTCGAAGTATGTCAAGTACAGCAGCCTAATTTATCAAACCTGCTGTTTTAAAGGGATAGATATCCAAAATGTTAAATTCTATCATTGGTTACTCATTCTCCATTTTTTACAAACCTGTTTGAATTATATTTCTTATGTTAAACACAAAACAAGACGCTCTGAAGAAGTTGAAAAAAAAAAAACAGCTATTGACTTACATAGTATTTTTTTGTCCCTACTAAAAAATATCTAAGCTCTTAAATTATATATTATAGTAAATTATAAAGTTTATATCAAATGGTTTCATACAGGTCCTGAAAATATTAAATTATGCATACAGTTTAGACAACACTCATATATTGCTAATATCATTTTAATTTTACTTCATATTACAGCGGAGCATGCTTGACCAGTTCATATTTGAGTCAGGAAACTGCCCAGGAAAATGTGTTTCCTGCAGATCATTTCCCATCATGAGCAACTTATCATGTGGTGCTACTGGTTACTGTTAGTCTTACGAGCTTTGTAAATGATGTTCAAATGAAGTCATGCAAGATAAAAGATTTCCAAATAACATCATGTGCTGAAATCAAGGTTGCTTACTTAAATTAAAAAGCTACTAACCCCTCCACATAAACACGGAGCAATACATCGATGAGGAAAAAGAAAGAGATGACCAGAGAAACAGTCTCCAGTGCACCTCCAACATCACGACTCTTCTCAGAAAGAGACAAGTCCACAATGACCATAATGATGTCCAAGATGATCAGTACCAGGCCAAAAACACTGCAAACATAATGAAAGTAGCCTGTTTGATCAAACTCTGCTTATAATATATTTATTTGGGGGATAATACAGTACCTAAACACTTTGTGACATTTTATTTGTAACATCAAATTCCAGTATGCCACTCACCGAAAACCAAAGGACATCACAAAAGGAGTTATCTTTTTCCGGACCTGACTGCAAAACAAATCAGAATGACATGCAAGAATAATAACAATGCCAATGCGTCATTGTGTCAGCAATTTATTAGCTTACTTACTGGTACATTGTGTCTGGGTCTTTGGTTTCTTCCTTTCCATCATCGATCTGCACCTCTGCCTCTTCCTTCACCGAATTACTGATCCAATGTGCATATTAAAACCATCATTAAAACATAAGGACAGTGCTTGCACTATATTTGAACTTTGTGGTTTCAAAACTTCAGTGAGTAGTTTTACAAAGCTTAAGGAGTGGAGGGATTTGTTAACAATATCCTGTAAATCAGGGAGCTAGAAACGGTGCTGAATTGCTCATTTAGTTGTTGGAGTAAAGGTCATGATGCTGGTGAACTGTTAGTAACTTTTAATGAATGTTATTCACTCACCCATTAACTTCTTTGGAATCTAACCCAGGGTTAAAATGCACAGACGTCATCTTTACGGGAATATTTCAAGTATTGCTATATTGAAAAAGAAAGAAATCAATCAGTGAGTCAATACTGGACTTCAGTGCAATATATATTGTTGGTTTTCAAGCCTCAGAACAACACATTTGCACAATTTGCCTTCTGATCTTTTTTTTGTAGAAAATAATAGTGATCATCATACATTTTACAATGATTTACAGAAGACCCACACTAAAATGTCATTCGTTATAACAGTTTAAAACCCCAAAAGGTAAGCATTTTCTCCAAAAACACTAAGACATTCTTATTTTAAATATTTAAACTGTCACTAGCCCTAAAACCACTCTGTTAAGAATCTTTTTAACCAGGGTACAAATTAAAGGGAGGTTTGGGGAGATTGACCCCCTTAATTAACGCTTGATCCCCCTGAAGGACATCAAAACAAGATGTTTGGTCAAAATCACAAGACATCAGAATTACAAGACACAAACTCAGCTTCTCTGATCTAATGTTAATAAATACTAATAAATCTCCTCAAAAAACTGAAAATGTATACATTTTGTTAATAAATTAGATGTAGTCTAATTTAAATACATTTCTAAATTGTATTCACAAAAGAATTTATTATCAAACTATTACCGAAAAAGTTGACCCCCCTAATTGTCAATGTATAATTTGCACATTGCTTTTAACTATTGCAAATACAATACAAACCATAATAATATAAATGATCACTTACTGCTTTTTAACTAAAACTTACAGGTCATAATGAGCATGTCATTTTATTTTTACATGGAGGCTACTACACACATATTGGTCCAACCTTTGCATTCAATATACTTTTAAAAATCACTTTTGTAATTTAAAGCTAAGAAAAATAATGATACGTGTCAATTCTGATTACCTATGATGATAAGTCAAAAACAAAAGGTAACTTAAATTTCATTACATAAACAGTTGGGATATATGAATATCAGTAGAAAGATTAAAACAAACGAATCAGCATTGACGAACTTACAAAAGTAGGCTACTTACTTCAGATCAATAAATTCTCAAAGGGTCCGAATTTAAAGTTTCAAATGTGGATTAAAGGATATATTATTCCATGGATTCCATTAAACGTCGTCTGCACTTTCTGAATCAAGTGTAATCTACTATATTAAATATCTGCATAAAGAAATGTAACAAGTAATCATTTGTTTGTCCAGATACAACATATCCCGCAGGACACTTGGAAACCGATACAAACCAGCCAGACTGAAGCGCATCCGGGAAAACTGTTTCCTTTCCCTTTGCTTGACTCGCAGCTTTATTTTTTGCTCTCTAAACAGTCACATATTCCTCAAACAGTCTTTCGGCGTATTGTCTCCATCATGGTTGTCTTTACAAGCGGTGACTGTCCCGTGATTTTCTGCGATAACAAAGGAAGGAGGTTCGAAGGTTAGCAATAGTTTTCTTCCATCCACATCCACATTCACACCGCCCCTTTCTTCACTCCTGCTGCAGACGTAGCGGTTTTTAACTTCCTCATACAAAATGAATATGGACGGGGACTGAAAATGTGGTGCTTTTAAATGTATTGCGGTCTTCTAATACTCTAATCTGGTTTGAATTAGTGTGCGCGCGCACGCTCGTTTATAGTTTCAAATCTATTTTTTACCAATATTTTGTGGAGCAGATAACCCAACAATGAAAGTCAATTGTCTATTTTTTTGGTGAAATAATAGTAAAATGACGAAGTATTCCTTTAAATAAAATATAAAAGTGCTAAAATACGTCTGTAATATTAGAGAAACTTTACGGCTTTCCCAACCTTGTGCCTATTTTCTAATACAGAACACATAGAGATGTTAAAGTGATAGTTCCCCTAAAAGAATGAAAATGGTCTCATTATTTGTGTGGCTTGAAACCTTTATGAGATCTTTCTTTTCATAATAAGATTTTCTGAAGAATTCTGGTTGTGGGCACTCGACAAAGTAAAAAAAAAAAATCTATGGAACTCAATGGATGCCAGCTACCAGCATTTGTCAAAATATGATTTTGTGTTCACCTAACAAAGAAGCTGAAATAGGATTTAAACAAGTGAAAGGTTAGTAAATGATGGCAGGATTTTCATATTTGGGTGAACTGTCTCTTTAACTGTAAAAAAACTAAGGCACAATAAACAGCTTTTATTGTCTGGCTTGTTCACTACATTGCTAACTATTATAATTCTAATCATAATGCTTACGATTTGTGTAACAGAAAACAAAAAGACAACAACAATTTCACATAGTTGCTTCTGGTATGTGCGGAATGGCCCAGGACTGACTAATGTGGACCATGTGGAACCAACAGCACCTATAAATATTAGAAATGAAAGTCTGGAGGGCATTTCATTGATGCTTAATCTGGAAGAGGAAGGAACATCACGTTCTGTATGTATAACTCTGTATTTAATACATGTCTATAGATTTTTATTGCTTATATGGCTATAATACTTAAGTTTTTGTTTTATTTATTATTAAAAATTACAATGTAATATATTAAGCTGTTTAATGTTAATGCAAATTAAGTGGAAAGCTAGTGTTTATAGGTGTGATGTGTGTTGGACAAATTAACACATCTACATTCTCATGTGAAGACTATTACCAGGTCATGCCACAGCTGGTGTTTATCTTGATTTGTCATGCTCTCACATTACTTCAAGCTTCAGTAAGTTTAGTTCTTGTCTAAAATGTTTTTCAACAATAACTAGACATTAAATAAATAAATAAAACCTATAAAGTTTTTTTTTAATGTTGTGTTTTCTATCAAGGCAGGGGAAGAATGCCAAAGTTATGAAATGTCAAAGCTGAAGGAAGAGATTCGCATGCTGAATAATAAATTGTTGATAGGGGAATGGAAAGTTATGCATCTGCGTACTCATCGTAAATTCAGGCTGGTTCCCAATCTGGAATTACAGGAAAATAAGCCGTCTGAAAACAACACTGAACCTTCACCAACCTTACCAAGCACTGGAGGATCTTTATTAGTTCACGATAAAGGTAATGCGCCACATAAAAAAACCTATGCACATGTATATTTCTAATTAAACCATTCATTACTTTATGAAAAATGGGTATAAACTCTTTTTTTTTACATTTTAAAGAGCTTTGTTTTTAAATGTACATTATTTTCTGTCCTTCATAATGTTTGTAATTATTGTGGCTTTATTGAGGTTCTTGCATTTCAACAAAAATGGGATACAAATTAAACAAAAATTACATAACTGCTTTTTTTGTGATAATATGAAGGGTTGAAGATCAATAATAATAATTTTAAAAAAAAAGTCACATGGTTATTTATGGAATGTATGTCCATTAGACTGTTCAGAGTTATATGACAGACTCAAACCAGTCAGTGGATTCTACAGGATCAAACCCAAACCATTACTCGAACCATTCCTTGTATACTGTGACATGGATGATGGGGGGGCCTGGACTGTGATTCAAAAAAGAATCAATGGGAAAGTTGATTTTGACAGGTAAGTACATTGTCTTGTCCTTAGACCGACAAAAATATCAGCATTATTAAATCTGCATTTCTTTTCACAGAAAGTGGGAAGATTATAAAAATGGATTTGGAAATTTTCAGTCAAGTAAAGATGAATTCTGGCTTGGGAACGATCATATTCATGTCCTTCTCAGTGATGGTAAGTTTTGTATATTTATTCGCAAGTTTATTACACTTCTTTTCTGTTCAACAATATTTTATTAACACCCTTTAGGTGACAGTGTGATGAAAATTGATCTGACAGACTGGAAAGGAGGGAAATCATATGCCATGTATGACAACTTCAAAGTGTCAGATGAAAAAGTAATGTTCTTTTAGGTTCTTACCATTATTTATGCATAAAAGAAGTTCATATGGATGAAGTCTCAATTACATTCCTCTCTGCTCACTATAGGATAAATACAGGCTGTACTATGGGATGTACAGTGGTCAAGCAGGAGATGCCTTGTCCGGAGGAGCCAATATGGTGGAGCAGTGGTCAGCCTCCCATAATGGCATGCAATTCAGCACCAGGGACCAAGATCATGATCGGTACCTGCAGGGAAGCTGTGCTGCAGAGAACAAGGGGGGCTGGTGGTATAACAGGTGATGCCAAGGGATTTCTGAGTTTTAGGTCTTAAAAGAATACTCCATGTTTTTTGACAATAGACAAATTGGACAATTTTCATAGAGTTAAACAGTTTAGTTTTACCCTTTTGTATCCACTCAGCCAATTTCTGGCTCTGATGGAAGCACTTTTAGCTTAGCATAGATCATTGAACTGGAATAGAGCATTAGCAGCTCGCTCATAAATGACCAAAGAGTTTAAGTCCTTTTCCTATTTAAAGTTAGACTCTTCTGTAGTAAAATCATGTACTAAAATGTTGCTATTTTCAAGGCCTTTATGGCTAGGAACTTCTGACGTAATATTCAAGGAATTTTGCTGCCATACCACATAGGGCATCTATTCCAATTCAATATATATTTCGATAATTGAGTTTTGCAATTATATGAATGCTATTATTTGATTAATTAGAACAGTTTGTCCTTCCAAAATTAGATTAGTAAATTATGCTAAGCTAAAAGTGCTCCCACTCGACCCAATGATGAGCTGAATGGATTCAGAAATGGTAATTGTTGGTTTTATGATTAAATGGTTTATCTCTAGGGTACTTCTTCCCCAATTTTCCAAAAATATTTGTTATTTTATGATACCTATTTTTTTATTTACAGGTGTCATGCTGCCAATCTTAATGGGAGATTTTACAGAGGTGGAGAGTACAAGGCCAAATATGACAATGGTATTGTTTGGAGCACCTGGAAAGGACTGTGGTACTCCCTCAGACACACAGTCATGAAGGTCCGGCCCAGCTCCCACATGGACAGCGTGGGTAGTGGAGGAGGGCCCACTGAATAGCGAGGTTGCTAAGCATCTTGTTATACACATTTGTGAATTATACTGTGTTAACTATAAGATTTACTGTGGTTTATTAACTTTTCAACCACATGACTGTCGAGCATAGAAAGAATCTTGGAGGGATGAAGGAAGAAAGTAATCTTGGTAGATTTGATGAATCCACCTGTTATTTTTAAAATAATCATAAATAATATAACTTTGCATGCAGCCATATAATAGCACTTGTAGCATACAATATGCATATTACATTAAAACAGCATTTTTACATGTGAAAAGTCTTGACTGATATTGTGTATCACTGTTTCGTAGTATAAAATAATCATTCAGGAAAAAAAAACTTTGTATATATATGTATATTTTGGTTTGTTATGGAAAAAAACCTGAGAATTCACATTTTCCAGTGTACAATCAAATCAAAATGTGTCCAAAATATACTATATAATGTTCATGATGGTGGTTTGCATGAGATCAAATTGGCTTTTTAAATCAAATCAAGCCTTCATAAATAGAAATACAATGAATCGTTCATTTGAAGTCATGAAAACATAATGATACAAAATCTTCCAAATCTGATAGAAACACCTTTCTGTAATCAAAAACTAATGCTTCATTCCATTAAGACTTTCATTTTAAAGTCAAAGTGTTGGAAACTAGTAGAAACACAGGATTTGTCAGGTAAGCTTATGAATAGTCAGAACCTCTACGCCATCATCTTCACCCAAGTATCCAGAAATGTCCATCATGCGTTGTTCTGACTCTGTGAGACTATATGGAGAGTTGCTGTAGTCTGCAGAGAGAGGAAGGCTGCGACAGCGTCCCCTACGCTGCTCTGAGGTAGAAAATGTGGAACTGCGTTGCCTTTGGCCGGTAGAGGAATTCGCCTCTCGTAGCTTCCTTGCTAGTATGTTCCTCTGGATGGGTGAGGGGCCTCTTTTGCTCCAGTTCTGCTCTGCTCTTTCAGCACGGTCCAGTGCAGAAGATGGGCTCCGGGCCCCGTGATGACGATCCACCAAGGGCTCTTTTGTTGGTGTCGCTGGAGCTGAATCTTTTGAATTTGACTGTGATGGGGGTGTGTCAACCCATGGTCTTCTCCTGTTGTCCACTGAGCTTTCAGTCATCCTAGGACTGGAACAAGACCAGACCTCAAGTTCAGGAAGCGTATGTTCCCAGGGTCTGCTTCTACAGCTGCCCTCAGGCAGTTGCCGAGGGGTCACCTGGGTCATGCTTCTTTCTCTGTATGGCCGAGATGGGAGAAATGGCTGCTGGTTGGTCTCATTGAAGCTTGAAGTCCTCCTGAAATTGGTATTCTTGGAATATGGTACTCTGCTGCGCTCTACCATCTCAACCCAGTCTGCAGTGCGCTCAAGACGACATGAGCTGGCACTAAATGCAGACTTCGAAGGATTATGTAACATGTCTATCTTTTGTCTATCTGACAAGGTACTGTTTTTGGAATGCCATGTGGGTTCTGGAAAGGTAGACCTTATGCGGAAGTGGCTACTGCTTGACTCCTCTGGACTGTCAAATTCTTGGGGCACAGGAGTTAGACCAGCTGAAGCCGTTGCTTCTAGCATGGTGTCATCCACTGGACTTTGGGACACATGGTAGACTTGAGTAGTCTCTTTTAAGCCTTTCTTCTTCATTTCCTTGAGCTGCTGTTGAGCTAAGCGGTAGCCAAAAAGGGGTGGAATGATCTTTTGGCCAGAAGGAGACATCCTCTCTGGGTCTTGTGGATGGGGAAGAGGAAGGGACATGCTCTGTTGATGAGCCAATACACCTCGGTTTGATGGTCCCTGTTTAGCAGGTAAGGTAAATCCCTTCTGTAGGGGAGCTGCCTGGAGACTTTCTGAGAAACTGGGCCTCTGCATGCTGTGACCACAGATAGAGGCCTGATCAGAGTTCTTTCTGCCGCTAGGAGAGTGCAGAGATCCACGGCGCATAGAGCTGCATTTTGGTGCACGACACAGTTTTCGCCACACTGTAACAAAAATGGTGGCCAGGATCACAGCCAGGCAAAGAGCGATCCCAGACACTACCACTAGATTACTAGTTAGAGGTGTGCTCACAGCTGGTGGAGGGCTGACTGGTGGAGGGGGAATCTCCTCTAAATAAAGAAAAGACAGAATGGAGTTTATTCTGAAATGACTTGTTTTCAATTAATATATAAAAAGTAGAATAAGTAAAATGATTACCAGTGCAGTCTTCTAGTGAACAGTGTGACTGCTCCCTAACCATGCCAGTGCATTGTATCCCACCACTAGAGGGCAGCAGACATTCACGGACACGCTCTCGCACACCTTCCCCACAAGTCACACTACAACCACTCCATGCCTGCCACGGTCCCCACATTTCTTCAAAGAAATAATATGGTATCATAACAAACAAATGAGCAAATATTAAAAACAAAATAAATAAGATGAAAATGGACACTGTAAATGCAATGCTTTGGATTGAGGTCTGGTTTTTAAGGTGTGGGGCAGAGGTGTCCAACCTTGGTCCTGTAGGACTGGTGTCCTGCAGATTTTAGCTCCAACTTGCCTCAACACACCTGCAAGGATGTTTCTATAAAGCTTAGTAAGAGCTTGATTAGCTAGCCCAGGAGTGTCTTGGGTTGGAACCAAACTTTGCAAAACACCGGCCCTCTAGGACTCTAGGGTGTCCAACTTCCCTCTACCTTCCAGCGGAATGTAGCTTCAACACACCAACCAAGACATTTCTAGTGATCCTTAAGACCTTAATGAACTCTTTCAGGTATGTTTAATTAAGATTGTAGGTAGGCTTATCTGGAAATTGAGCCACAAAGAGTGGGATTTGGACACCTTGGTTTAGGGATTCAAATCAGTGATAGGTGTTCACTGTCAATCAGTGATAGGTGTCACTATCATGCATCACTAATTAGACAAATTATTAAGAAATGGATCAGCAATGCTAATTCTAGAATAAATTGGCCTCGATTTGGTCATGTTTAATTTCATTTTTAGTTAATGTTAAGTACTCACTATAACAAACACAACTGCAGTTTACCATAGTGCTGTACAAATAAATTTACCACAGATTAAAGCAGACTCACTTGTATGTCTTTGCACAATCACACAGGTGTGCGCTAAACTGGCAGCCTGACTGTAGACCAGAGTGAAATTGAAGCAGTACTTATTCTTGCCAGCATCAAAGATGGAGCAGTTAAATTCAGTCTCATTCTCCCCTTGTGTGAGGAAGTTGAATGCCAGGTGAGAGGGAGAAGATGAGTCTTTACTTTGTTCCTTGTAAAGCAGAATCTTTCCATTTGCAACTGTACAGGGAGGAGCAATTCGACGGACAGAAACTGCTCCTTCACAACCTCTTTTGTAACTGTTATCCACAACAAGCTTGTAGGAAAAGATGCTGGACAGGTAAAGGGGACCAGATGATTTTATGTCTTGTTGGGTATGAGGGGACTTTATGGAAATCTGGATGAAGCCACGCTCTGTCAGAGGGGATGCACATGGCATTTCTAGATGTTGAGACCTGGCTACTTTAATATTATGTCTTATCTGATTCTGCACCTTCTCAAAGGTGGTTCTTTTTACCTGGACTTGTTCAAGGTAGCTCACATCAAGGTACAGAGTTGACGCTTTGCTGCTTGAACATGGATGGAAATGGTCATTAGTGTACACACCAATCCTAAAGTCAGTGGAGCTCTGGTTGTTGCTTCCCCTTTCCACAACTAAGTGAAAGTTAGGCCAGTGCACATGTAGAATCGGACTCCACCACCAGATGGCACTCCTGTTAGACACGCCAAGGACGTGCTTCTGCTCCAGTCTGAATCTGAAATTACCAGCATAAAGAAAACAGGAGCAGTTGAACTCCATTGACCCTTCTGATTGGTGGAAAGGAAGCATCCTGGTAAGTACTGTAACATTCCTGTCCACGTCAATCAATTCCACTGTCAGTCGGTGGTCAGTGAGGTTGTTTTCAGTGCTGTAATCCACAAACACACTGGCATTGCTCAAGGCAATGTGCATCGATGGCCATAGCTGGATACCAGCCATTGCTATGGGAAAGAAAACACAAAGTAAAACCAATAAAAATCTTGAGAAGCAAAAAAACAATGAATAGCTTGCATTGTCAGGTTACTATGTTCTATTAAATGGACTAAAAGTGAAACATCTACTGCCTACTGTGGATTTTACATGATCAAAAGGTCAGCCTTGCCCAATACAAAACTGCAATCATTCATTCAAGCAATCAAACACACCTTATTACAGACTCCAAAAGTCCAATTTAAAAAATAAATAAATAAAAGTAAAAACATATATTCAATGACAACATATGTTTTTAGTTCATTACAACTTATTAAACTAAGCTAATCATGTTTTAACTTAATAAGTTACACAAATTGTTTTAAGTCAGTTTAACAATATGCAGTAAGTTCAATGGACTCATAAGGTTATTACATATAAAAACAAAACCATTTACTAAATACATCAATACCAATATCTCCTCAGCTCTGATTGACCGTGTACTACTGACATCTACTGTAGTTAGGCCACAGGTGAGCAGTGTAAAGTGTAGTACAGTATGCTATGAACAACGTTATTTCACCTTACCTGTGCAGAAGCTACATTTGCTTAGAAGTATGTTTGCCTGTACATACAACATACGACCTTGCCTTTCAATATCCTCATCATCAGTCAAGTGCTCAGTAATAAAATGACCAAGATATTTTACTTTTACAAACACAGTACGACTTTCATTGGACGGCCTAAAACTGGAAAATATATACTTTCGTCTTTAGTTCTGTAGATCATAACCATACTCTTGGCAGGATTATATAAAATCATGTTCAGAATCAAGACCATACTTTGTCTGAGGTCAAATCTAATACCTTAAGCACAAATTTACCCTGTGGCTAAATGGACAAAAAAAAATATTTCTGCAAAATTCATTCATTTCCTTTAGCCAAGTCCCTTTATTTATCAGGGGTCGCCACAGCGGAATGAACCTCTAGCTTATCCAGCATGTTTTTACGCAGCGAATGCCCTTCCAGCTGCAACCCAGGACTGGGAAACACCCATACACACTCATTCACACTATGTCAATTAAGTTTATTTGATTCACCTATAGCGCTTGTCTGGACTGTGGGGGAAATCAGAGCACCTGGAGGAAACCCATATGATCACAGGGAGAACAAGCAAACTCCACATAGGAATGCCAACTGACTCAGCCAGAGCTCGAACCAGTGACCTTTTTGCTGTGAGGCGACAGTGCTAACCACTGAGTCACCGTCTCTCCTTCTGCAAAATTTATTCATTTGTTCATTCATATTATTTTTTAGCTTAGTCCCTTTATTAATTTGGGGTCGCCACAACAGAACAAACCACCAACTTATTCAGCATATGTTTTATGCAGCGGATGTTCTTCCAGCTGCAACCCATCTCTGGAAAACATCCATTCACTCGTACACTATGGACAATTTAGCCTACCCAATTCACCTGTACTGCATGTCTTTGGACTGTGGAGGAAAACAGAGCACCTGGAGAAATCCCACACCAACACGCGGAAATCATGCAAACTCCACACAGAAACGCCAACTGACCCAGCGCAGACTCGAACCAGCGACCTTCTTGCTGAGAGGCAAAAGCACTACCTATTGCCCCACCGCGTCGCTCCTGCTAAATTTATATGGGTTGAATTTAAACAAATTAACTTTAGTAACTTTCAACTTAAATTGTTTGTTTAAAAAAAGTAAAAAAAAAAAGTAAATTCAAAGAATCAACTTTGAATCCTTTTTTTTCAGTGTACTTGGTTGATAATCTGTAGATTTTAGATGGTAATTTATTAATATAAGTCTAAGCCGTGGGGTGAGGCAGTGGCACGGTAGGTAGTGCTGTCGCCTAACAGCAAGAAGGACGCTGGGTCGCTGGTTCGAACCTCAGCTTAGTTGCCGTTTCTGTGTGGAGTTTGTATGTTCTCCCTGCCTTCGCGTGGGTTTCCTCCGAGTGCTCCGGTTTCCCCCACAGTCCACAGTCCAACAAGACATGCGGTACAGGTGAATTGGGTAGGCTAAATTGTCCTTAGTGTGTGAGTGTGTGTGTGGATGTTTCCCAGAGATGGGTTGCGGCTGGAAGGGCATCCCCTGCGTAAAAACTTGCTAGATAAGTTGGCAGTTCATTCCGCTGTGGCGACCCCGGATTAATAAAGGGACTAAGCCAACAAGAAAATGAATGAATGAATGAAGTCTAAACCGCACATTCTTAAGCCTCCATGGTGGTCAGACACAATTTTTTTTTTTTTTGAAATGCAAATGTAATCTTTAATTTAAAGCAAAAATTAAGCAGAATCACAAAAAAAGTTACATACAACTATTTGTTTCCCCTTTTTGCTGTTATTGTTACTTTTATTGACTGTGACTGTGATTAGAAAAAGAAAAAAGAACTGATCTTTAAAACACTCACCATTCCAAGAACACCACATGCTGTATCATGACAATATGTCAAATAATTTGGTCATATTTGAAAGCTGCACTATACCTTGGTTTATCTCTGACATTACCACAGATTTTCTGGTTGTGCATTTTTAGCTAGACTGACTTTAAAGAACTTCTGAAGCCTAATACAAGAAGTTCAACTACTGTGTCTATTACTGTAGTATGAGAACTTGAGACATTGTGATTTACAAGCGTGGGTCACTTCCTGCAGAAAAAACAAATGCATCCAGGGGAAGAGAGTGCAGGAAACTTCAGTGACCCACCCTTCCCCCCTCCCTCCATTTTCCTCTCCCAATTTACCACGGTGCACTTGAAACTGTCAATCACTGACACTGATTTTAACAAAGTTGGATGACATAACTGAACATTTGGGCCTTTGTACTGATCCCTGAGGATGTAATGAAAACGTAATGGTTTTATTGCACCTGTTGCTTTGCAGAAAGTTTCTTTACTCGCTGGTCACTTAGTTATTTGGTTGAGCCATTTCATTAGAAGAGTTTTTTTTCTGTTTTTAAAGCTTAGTTGCCATACAAATGGTCAGACTTGACTGAGTTTCAGAACAATATGTTCTTTAAAAGCAAGCATGCATTCTTACCAAATCCCATCAGGAAGAGCAGCACAAATGAGGTCGCTGTAGGGAAACCCTGTGTCATTCCGACTTGTGCGGCCTCTTATCTTTCTTTGTCCGCATCACCCCAATCCACTATTATTTTCCCTGTCCTAAAAGAGAAGCAGTTCAATCGGGAACAAGAGATACATTGAATGCATTCATTTTCTATAGCACTTATTTGTTGAGGCAATCACCTGACTCTTTCATTGGACTATCAACAAGCTGGAAAAATGCATTTGAATATCTTCTTGATAATCTCACATTTTAACACTTGGTGCATAGTCTATCCAGTTCATACTTGCACTTAGTGTTGGGTGTCATTTGTTACTAAGTAAGTAGTTACTGTAATTAAATAGTTGTAAAATTCTGCTGAATACTTTGCTCTGTAAACAATTTAATTGTAGTTATTTATACTTTACTTGCCTTATAATTCTTTAACAATAACATTTATCATGCCAGTTGCACATGGTTAAAAAAAAGAACTTAGGAAATTATTGACATTTTGAATAAAAGATGGACATTAGGTTGAAACGTTTAATATTTTACATGAATATGCATGCTATGTATGCATATGTATAAAGTATAGAAATATTAATTAACATTTATTAAGTGTTGTTCTTTTAAATACTCCAAACGATCATGTTGACTCCAGTTTAAAGCATTAAGAGTTTAATTTCTATTGTCTATGCATTAAGGCTTACTGGGATATATTATATTATATTTACACTTGTATTATATTTTTAATCAGTACTGAGTCAAGTAATTAAATTACCTATTGAGTTATTTCTCACACCAAAAAGTAAAAAAAGTACTAAAATGCTTGACATTTGTTTTTAATAGTTATTATTATGTTTGGACACAACATGTTTTCTAATATTTTATAATACAGTATAATTAAAAAATGCACATAAAAACATATAAATGTTGCATATATCACATATGAATTACACTTTATTATATATTTTTTTTCAGTACATACATGCACTTTGTGTTGGGTATCATTTGTTACAAAGTAGCTGGTTAGTGAAATTAATTGATTGTAATTTTATGCTGAAAAACTAAAAGATTACTTTGTAAGCTATTTATAGTTTTTTTATATATATATATATATACTTGCTTTATATTATAATTAATTTTTAACATAAATTAACATTTATTATGGTAGTTGCACATGCTTTAGAAAAAATGAACTTAAGAAATTAATGACATTGTATTTATAAAAGATCATAATTATGTTGAAACATTTAATATTTGACATGAATATACATGGGATGTATGCATATGAAATATACAAATACTGATATTTAACATTTCTTAAGTCTTATTTTTTAAAATAAAGCTAAAAGGTCATGTTGACTTAAGTTTAAGAATTACATTTTTTATTGTCTATGCATTAAGACTTAAAGAGATTGTTATCAGTACTGAGTCAAGTAATTAAATTAATTATGGAGTTATTTCTCACAATATAATAAGTACTAAAATGCACGTTAATCTCTAAACTAACTCAAAAGGTACAGAGCAAGAAGTCTGTTTTTAATATCTGAAATTGCTAGATTATATTTGAACAAAACTTAATGCTTTATTATATTTTTATAATAAAATATAATTCACGAGTTATATGATCTAATATACATGTTCTATTATATCATTTATGTATTATAATTTATTACAAAAATCTATTTAAACGTATAGCCTGTAATAGCAAACAGACTATTGTTGCGTGGGCATATGTATATGAATTTGGAAAAGACAATAATAATACCTATAACGACATTTCTGGTTATCGCTAAAATACCTCTAATAAGAATATCAAAATAACGAACAACGAGGTCAGCAAGGTTAAAGAAAACCAGTGAATAACAAACATTTAAATGCGCAAATTAAGAGTGACCCACAAAAGCAGAAGTATTTTACTTACATTTGACATTAAGTCGGATGCACACCGTATGTTCTTGTATCCTGAACGGAATGAAAGGCATCATGTTACCGTGAGTTTTGTTTTTGAGTGGTAAATGAATGAACGTCACGGAGCGCCTCCGCTCTTGAGACGCGCTCCTTTGAGGCGCGCGACCCCATTCTCCGTGAACGCGCACTCCCTCGCTTCCTCTTATGGCAGTTAGGAAATCAAGTTAGGACGCGGTCTGGTCCCCACAAAAATCTATTTAGTATTTACGTCTAGCCGATAAATTACGAAAAACTGCATTATGTGCGTTTATTTAAAGTGTAAATCAGACCACAAGTTTCTTAGTGACCGCAGTGAAATGCCGGCTGGTTCTTCATTAATCCAGCAGATTAGCTGTAGTTCGTGTATCTAAACATAAATGTCAGAAGAAAAAGTAAATCATCATCAAAAAACTAAAAACCTCTCCTCCATAAATCTCCCCACAAAAGCAAGGTCTGTCTCAAAACGAGCTTGACATTTCAAGCAATCTTTGAAGATAATTAAGATATTAAACTATATTTAGGAACAGTGCTCTCATTGTAATCTCAGTTGTCATTTCGCGATCACATGTTTCCATGAAATAAACTTTAGAAAAACAGAACATTAATCTTCGGTCAGAACAATTACTGCCAAAAAGCTTTGGTGAAACTTCTGATATTAAAAACACAAATGCAAGTGATGTAATTCACCAGAAATAAGAATAACTGAACACATGAAAGAAAAGCCAAAGTCAAAAAGTGTTAAAAAAAGAGAAATATATATGTATATATTTTTTTACACAACTGTTCAAAAAAAGCAAGGAAGACTTTGAATAACTGCAAAACAGATTGCTCTCACTGACTGCCAAACAATTAGCTGATGTTCTAATGAATTTTCTGATTATTTTTGCCATTTAAAGGCCTCATGCCTTCTTTCCTATGTTTATATCTCAATTCTGATCTATATGCAATGCATAACGACATATTTTAATAGACAATCTAATAGTACTGAGCAAACTGCAGTCACACACAATATCGACTGAATCCTCTGCATGGTCATTTCTGTCACTCCTTTTCCATTAAAGGCAGTAGAATAGATTAAATCGGTTACACACAGGGCACAGCAAACAAACAGATGCAGTAATACACAAAAGTACCTTAACCATCATTCAATGAAAGACCCTATTGACAAACAGTGGAAAATAGGTGCCCACTTGTGTCCAGAGTGAGATCTAATCTAGTTCACAGAAGGATTCGGGGCCAGCAGGAGCTGAGGGGCAGCTGGGTTCGATAACATATCAGCCTCATGCGTCAGAACAGGTTGGGATAAAAACGCAGGCCTTCTACTGAATCGTCTCGGCACAAGTGACCCATTTTTTCGGCTAATAACAACCTGTGAAAGAGAGAGAGCGATACATCAAAATAGTGAGGAGAGACTTGAGGGATGAATTATTGATGAAATAAGGCAAAGGATGTCTCCAGCACCTTTCTTTAGCGAGGAGAACTGACAGTCCCAGCAGCTTGGCAAACTCTTCTGCTGTGAGTGAGCCTTTATCAGACACCTGGGAGAGGGAAAAATAGAGAAGAAAACCTCAATTAAACCAGATATATGCCCAGCAATACTACCACCATTTCTGGAGTATGGCAAAAGCTAAAAATATACATTACTATGTTTATTTTACTGTATGCCACAGTGAGTTAACACAGGCTCTTCATCACACAACAATCAAACAAAAAACTCTGAAGTTTACCCTCAGAATTATGTTCTTATTTTTTTACCCTCATGTCTTTCCATGATAGTATGAAAATAAGTTTATCTTTGAAACACAAACAAGAATATTTTTTTATCAATAATCCAGTTTACATGTGCATAAAAGCCTTAATTAAATCTGTTCATTATATAATGCAATTATGTATCTTCAGAAGACAAATTTAATTAAAATTGGACAA